CTAGCCACACCCTTGTTGGGAATCGAACCTGTGCTCTATTGCCTCTTAGGCAGATGTGTTAACCATTGAGCTACAGACCTCGACTCCTTATCAGCTTAAGCTAAAATCTAAAATCCTTTGACTCCGATCTTGAAAAATCCAGTCGCAGGATCAGATAATTTAGGGAATGATTTAAAGCCTTTGAATGTTACAAGCATTATTATTAATTAAGGCCTGTGATGCTTAATCTAAAATATTAAAATGATGAAATGTGTATTCTATTTTCTAGATAACTGCAATTTTTCACTCAGAGCAATAATAGAAACCCAAATTGCCAGTTAAAGGTTAATGGGAATTAAAAATGGAATGTAAAAATGGAATGGGAATGGGCATGTAAAAATGGAAATTAATATAAAAGCCCATAGGTAAGAAAAGTGTTGTGTTTATGACCTTCTTAGCATAGAGAGTTAAATTGTATGAAAAGTTTAAAAGTTTAAAGCATATCCTCAATTGGTCTTCCACCTCATAAAATGTAAAATTCATATACAAATCAAGACTTAATAAGCAACAGTCAGCTTTATCTGCCATTCATAGCTGGCCACCATTATTCCTGTTGTTAATAGCCATTTTTCTCAGTGGCTCCATAATAGTTCTAAAGATAATTTCTGTCTCATATCTGCGCTATAGTTCTTACAGTAAAAATAAGATATCGTATCTCTTCTCATAAAGTCAAAATACTTGCTCATACTACATCCTTCATCCTGATTAAGAAATGCCAAGCCAGATGACTGAAGGTGTTCCTCTTCCAGTCGGATGCTTTGCAATTGGCAGCTTATCCCAGCCAGGGAGTCCCAGCCAGATCCCAAATGGGGCTCATCAGAGATGATTAGTTAATTTGGGGAAGTTGGGAAGTTCTAAATGATGGCATTCATTGATCTAGGAAAACTGATATGAGAAGACCTGGAAACAGCTGGAGTTTCTTCCTCGGGAATATATTGTGTGTCGGGAGCTTTTCTGCAAAGACCACATTACCTGTAACCAATACAAATCTCTTCTTTGCAACCTTCCATCCTTATAAGAAAGCAACAGTTGGCAGATATAGATGTGGGAGCCCATATGGACAGGGACTGTAAATAGAATTCTATCCAGCAGAAGCAGAAAATCTTCACCAACAAATGTTTCAAACCAACTTCAAAAAGAAAGAGACGCTGCAGTTGTTTTCTATTTTACCAGTGTCAGCAGAACTTTTGTTATCATCATTGGGTTTCTTTGGACTACTAGGATCATACTCGAGCTGTCTCAAAAGTCAGGCATGCAGTTCTGATGAGGTCCTGATAACCCAAGATTTCTCACAATGATCAATTCCAATAAAACTGGGGGAAGATTATAGCATCATGCAGATTTTAAGGAAAAATCATCTTTGTATATTCAGATGACAATTACAATCAAGATCATGTAATTCACTATGAGGCGCATCGGACTATAAGACGCACCTAAATTTATAGGAGGAAAACAAGAAAATAAGTTTTTGGCCTCCGCATGTTGTGTTTTTGCCCTCCCCAGCCCCTAGAACAGTGGTGGTTTTCAAAAAAATTTGGAACCTCTTCTGTAGGTGTGGCTTGCTTTCCGGGTCCACTGGCGGAACCTCTTTTAACCGGTTTGATAGATTTGACGAACCGGTTCTACCAAATAGGTGCGAACTGGTAGGAAGCCACCTCTGCCCCAGAAGCATTCTGCAATGCTCTGTGCAGCCCGTCTTTGCCAAAAGTGCATCCGTTTTTGGCCTGCAGAATGCTTCTGGGGGCATGACGTACAAAGGGCTTGTGAGCCCCAAAATGCCTGTATTCAGTCTATAAGATGCACCTAAATTTTCACCCACTTTTAGGGGGGGAGGAAGGTTTGTCTTATACTCCAAAAATATCTATATTATTAACATTTATTCTTGCATTTAGGCATCCTACTTTAGGTGAGCACTCTGAGACTTTTGGATGTTGAACTGCATTGTGATATAAATACAAAAGCCATTTTTTATGCACATGCTGGCATCCTTCTTTTATATGATATCACCATGCAGTTTTTGAGATGTTACGACTTCCTACCATTACTTATGTAATGAGTTAATGAGGCTTATTAGCAAATTGAAAATAGTTACTATAATTTTCCCATGGAACTATATATATGTATATCACTGAACAGCACTTCTAAATTGCTTCATTTTGTTGCTTCTTGTTGTTCAATTTTAGCACTGTATGAAATCAAAGACATTGAATTGTTTATGCTTTTATTTTATATGGATTCTCCCTTATGTAACAGATATGTTCAAGAAAAGAACTGCTCTGTGTGTCTGATCTTATCTCATATATATGGATATTTCAATCATTTCACTCTGTCATCAATATCTGAACCAGAAGATAAGATATAGGGAGGAAGCAGTGTTTGTTAATTGTGTTATTAACTGTGCTTGATGCTATTGTTCTATTCAAGTCAATAGAGTAATATCCACTGTTGTAATTGGATGAGAAAGTTCAATTATGTTTTGGAATTGTTTTGGAGGACTCATTGGTTTTCTTAGATGCTCTTGTTGATTTGAATTATATACCAGAGATGTAGAAACTAACAGGAAGACAATAGAAATGGATATTGTACACAAAAGAAATTGAACAGAAGAACATTTTCTATTAATCATACAATGATCGGAAGAAGTCATCTCTCTTCGTATATTCAAAGATTAATTTTAGTTCAGGAGTCTTGACCAGAGGACTATTTAGAATTTTGTAGTAGTTAATATGCTTACTTACCATGGTGGCACAGTGGTTAGAATGCAATATTGCAGGCTACTTCTGCTGTCTGCCAGCTACCTACAATTTGGTAGTTTAAATCTCATTGGGCTCAAGCCTTCCATCTTTCTGAGGTCAGGAAAATGAGGAGCCAGATTGTTGTTGGGGCAATATGCTGACTCTGTAAACCGCTTAGAGAGGACTGTAAAGTACTGTGAAGTGGTATATAAGTCTAAGTGCTATTGTATAGTATTGTATATAGTATATCAGCATCTATCATGAAAATCTCAGTACATTCTGGCGTAAGAAGAATAAACTAGGGTGATAAAATGTAATGAAAGCCAGTAAGATGGATCTGTTAAGGTTTCTGTGTTTGACTAATTCTTTTCAACTTCTTTTAAAAAATGGGCGGCCACAGGAAGATAATATTATCATCTGCTTAAATTAAGAAAAAGGATGTACCCATTTCACTTTGAAAATAAATTCAAGATTTCCATGAGGTTTAATAAAACTGGATTAGATCAGATTTCAGCTGCAATACAAGGTATATGAAAGGCAAATTCTGTATTAAGTAGATGGAAATGTGGGATTACAGTCTTTGACTTGAATAAAAAGACTATTTTCTTTGCTTTCTTTCTAATACATTGCTACAAGTATGACACTCCATGGTTTACAACCATTTGTTCAGCAACTATTTGAAGCTACAATTGCACTGAATTGTGCAATTGTAGCTTCAAATAGGAAAAATGGAATTGTTCAACCATTCCTTTTCCAACCAGAATGCAGAGAGTGTGTAGTATTAATATTTTATTTGCTATTTGTAGGAAAAAATTAAGAGGGCATTTGTTGCCTTATTTTTGGCAAATTATTTGTTATGAATATTTGTGACAAGACATCTTTACCAGAGTCATATTGCTGATTTGATTCATAAATAGATATGGTGATTATCAGTCCTTATAATAAAGAAAAAAATCTAAATTTATGGGAAAAACTCATGAATCAATGTTAAATTAAAAGGATGCCAGAAGTATGGTAGAAGAAAACAATGTGTTTTTAGCCACGGTAGAATTCTGCTTACCGGAATGGGCTGAAATTTTAGAATGCATGTTTTCTTGAAAAGGTGATTTTAGGAGAAAAACTGAAATGTTGTTTAGCCTTTCTTTTAGTCCATGTCCCTTTCTGACAAAGTTCTTCTTTGGCAGACTGCACTGTATTGTTGCATATAACCAAGTGAAGCATGTAGTTTAGTTTTTCATGCTCATTTGAAGAAATTAAAGTTAAGGATTGCCAGTCTCTTAGTCTTCATCATTGCCTACTTCAAGAGTGATTCAGAGTGGATCAGAGGCTTTGATTCAGTAAGACAGTTGTATATGTGCGTGTGTGTGTGTGTGTGTGTGTGTGTGTGTGTGTGTGTGTGTGTGTTAATCCTTAAAGCCTGTCTTTATGGCTGACCCTTTCAGTAATCCTTACGGCAGTCCTATATGATACCATGATTATCCCAACATGTGAAAGTGAGCAGGCACTGAAGCTGTTGCCAAATTTAGAGCTGAGCAGAGCTTTTGAGAATTCTCACCCCCAGCACACTTTTAGCCATTGTGCTATAAAAGGATGACTGAAACATCCACCTTTCAACTCCACGTGGTC